ATCTGAACGGTTCAATTAGGAAGGGAAGAAAAAACCCCTTGCTGAGGCAATTTTTATTACAAAATCTTTCTAAAATAAAACAAAAAATTTTCTAAGAATAAATTAAAAAATATAAGCACTCTGCTCCACCCCCGAGACCAGGAGCCAGCCTGGATTGGGGAGCAGATCCCAAGGCTGTGGCAGTCCCTGCTCAGTGGGACTGGGACCTGAGGCTGCCCAGGGCAGGGTGGGACGCCCGGACAAAGGCCATGTCCTGCCTGTACTTCATGGCAGTGGGGGGCTGGCGCCGGAGCAGCTGGTCCCCCATGTCCTGGGGCTCAGGGTCGTCATAGATGGTGGAGATGAGGATGGGATTGTCCCTCCGGGGCTTCTTCCCCTTGAGGAAGGTTGGCAGCTTCTCCCCGTGGTACCTGGAGGGAAGCAGGAAAGGTTTGGTTGGAGGCTGGTGAGGCAGCCAGGCAACCCCGTGCTTCCCTGATCATTTCCTTCACACGATCACGGAATCAGGGAATGGTTTGGGTTGGAAGGGACATCTTCCACTAGACCAGGTTGCTCCAACCTGGCCTTGGACACTTCCAGGGATGGGACAGCCACATCTGCTCTGGGCAACCTGTGCCAGCGATGCAGGGAAGATGTGGACCAGTATGGATTCCTGTGCTATTCCTGGCTGCTCTAGAACAAGAGCTAGCCCTCATGGTCAAACACAGCACCCCATAGAGCCTCCAGAAACCCCACAGGGCAGGTAGGGGTGGGGACCCTCAGTCCTTCCTCTGTGTCTCTGCTACAGGACCCTGCACATGGTTCCAGTCCTGCTCTAACTCCACACTCTCCACTAAGGAGCCCTGGACTGTCAGGAAGAGGAGTGTATTTAGCTCTGGAGAGCTGTGGCAGCCCCAGCTGTGCAGGGAAAGGCAGATTCCTGGGGCAGCCTTCCAGTTCTCGTTCCCACTCTGCTCCAGCCACTCAGCTGGGGGTGCTGAGAGCCCGAGCAGAGCTCTGAGCACAGGCTGACACTTGGGTACTTACCCCAGCCCCCTCTTGCATCTGGGGTTCTGACCCTCGTTATCCAGAGCTTCAGCCATCCCAGAGTTGCTGCTCCCCAGGCCCAGCCCCTCTGTCCAGCCCTGCTGCTCCAGCACCTTCCTGCCAAAGCCCTGGGAGGAGGGGAGAACATCACAGAGTTGCTGGACAAAGCCCAACCTCATCTTCCCAGAGCTTTCTGCCCCCTCCCCACATCCAAGGCCTCTCCTCCCCCTAATCCACATCCTCTGGGCACCATCACCACCCCAGTCCTTCCTGCCCTGCCCCTGAGCAGGTGCCCACAGCTCACCTTGGTGTATCTCTCAAAGGTTCCAATCTGCTGCCCTGACACAGACCCCTCCTCCAACCCATCCCGGAGCCGCTGCTCCAGCCACATCTGCACCGAGTCCCGAGCATCCTTATCACCTCCATCTAGGGAGAAAGAAGCCAGAGTCAGGGCAGCACAGCTCAGGGAAGCTGTACAGCTCTGTCACTTCTCCCAGAGCACCAGGCAGAGGAGGCAGAACCTGTTCTTTTTGGCAACTCTTGCCGCCAGACCAGAAAAACACTGTTTCAAGTTCACTGACGTCTTGGACGCTTTCAAAGGATGACAGAGGCAAAGAGCTCCCCAGATTCTGCAGGGTCAGAATTTCCCAGCCTCCCTGGTCTCCTCAGGATGGGGGGGGGGAGGTTCAGCTCTGATACCTTTGTCATAGTAGATGCTCATGTCCACGTCCCAGTCGTCTGCTGTCTGCTCGTCAAAGTCTGCCAAGAGAAGGAAAGCAGCAGTTTTGGTGAAGTCTGACACACAAGAGCTGTTTGCTGGTAGTCCAGTTCCCTATTTTCTCTAACAAAATGGGAAAGAATCACAGAATCATTAAGGCTGGAAAAGACCTCCAAAATCTTCAGGTCCACCCTGTGCCTGATCCCCACCTTGTCCCCCAGCCCAGAGCACTGAGTGCCACGTCCAGTCATTCCTTGGACACCTCCAGGGATGGGGACTCCACCACCTCCCTGGGCAGCCCCTTCCAATGTCTGACAGCCCTTTCAGTGAAGATATTTTCCCCAAAATCCAACATGAACTTCCCCTGGCACAACTTAAAGCCATTTTCTCTCCTCCTGTCCCTCATTCCCTGGGAGCAGAGCCCGACCCGCCCCAGCTCCCCCCTCCTGTCAGGGAGTTGCAGAAAGCAAGAAGGTCCCCCCTGAGCCTCCTTTTCTCCAGGTTGAGCCCCTCCAGCTCCCTCAGCTGCTCCAGCCCCTTTTCCAGCTCCATTCCCTTCTCTGGACATTCTCCAGCCCTTCAATGTCTCTCTTGCAGTGAGGGCCCAGCACTGAAATGGCATTAGAGACTCCCCAAACCCCAGTGCCCACAGAAGAGGCAGAGGCAGCACCACTGGGGTCTCTGGTGACTGGATTGTGATCAAGTTGCCAGTTTTGTGACCAAGGGAAGATTAAAAAGTGATGGCAAGATGCCGGTGGCTGCAGCTGAGCTGGACTGTTTGCAGGGGGTTAAACCTGCTCCTGGGGGTTGGTGGGGGCTCAGTGACACAAACACCAACGTTACCTCCATTCTCCTCCTGCCAGAACTGGGCATCTGTGTAGAACACGAGGCCAGAGCCTCCTTTCTCCCACTTGAGCTCGATCTCCTCCTCGAAGAGCCGCTCCTCCACACGGCCCTGCTTGGTCACGTCCTCGTGCAGGGCCTCGTGCCTCTCCCACTCCTCACAGGTGTCATTGTCCTGCAGGGGAGGTGGCACAGGGTGGGTGACACCAGCACAGCCCCCTCCCTGCCCCCTGACCCCATCCCAACACCCTCCCTGTGGAACAGCCCTGCTGACAGAGCTGGTCCCAGCCTGCAGCTCTCAGGCCCCGACACGACGGGTGCGGATGAGCTCATTCCTTGACTAATGCCACTTCCAGAGTCAGCACTGAGAAATCCCACACCTCACACCCACTGCAGGGATGCCCATTTAAGGAGCAGGTGTGCTGGACCTGGAGTCAGCACTAAGCAACGAATTAATTCCATTCCAGTTGATCCCTAAGGAGATTGTGTGGGTTTCCCGGGAAGCAGCTCACTGGCACAGGCACAGGGCAGGCTGACAGCTCCACTGCTGCCTGCCCAGCTCTGGGCACAGCCCTTCCAGGGCAGGAACAGCCAAAAGAACGGCTGGAGATCCAGGAAACAGCCTGTGAGAAACAGCTGGAGGAGTCTGTTTAGTCTGGAGAAGGAAAAGCTGAATAAAAGGAGGGAACAAAGCGCCCTCTGTGCCCGCTGTTGCCAGGAAAAACTAATGGGGTGGAACTGCAGCAAAGATTTGGCATCTGAGTTAGTTCTGGTGGAGGAAAGAACGGGAATGGCTTGCCTGGGGATCTGTAATGACAGAGGTTTGGGAAAACAGGCCAGACAGGCGTCTGCCAGGCAGGGATGGCTCCACAGAGCCTGCCCTGCCCAGGGCTCCAGGAGCCTTTGTCACAAAGGCCATTTTCCTCACAGTGACTAAACTTCAGTCCCAGGAGCATTCGAGGTCAGCCATTTGTGCAGCTCTGCATGTCCTTTTCCAGCACACAAACATGGGCCTGAGCCTCTGGTCACCTCATTTGTAGGCAAAGCAGAGCTGGGCCAGTCTGCCAGGGTCTGCTCTGCAGCATCAGCTCCTTGGGCCAAACCCCTTGGGTTTGATCCCACCAGAGCCTTTGGGATAAACCCTGACCTTTATGTTCAACCCTTAAAACCACCTTGCTCTGGACAAGCAGTTTTTGGGGGGTTCATGCCCCCACTGCCCATGCACCAAGAGGTGAACAATTCTATTTTAACACCATTTTTTTTAGATATGTAATTTATACAACACAGTTAAAATTGAGCTCTACATGCCCTCTCAGCTCTGCTGGGCTCGGATGGTGCTGGAATATTCCACTTACATCATCTGAGTGAGACTCCTCTTCCTCCTGCTGCCTCTCCTCCTCCTCCTCCTCCTCCTTCTCCTCCTCAGGCCGGGCAGGGTGAGTCACCCCCGGGGTTGGCTCGGGCCCCTCTCCCTCGGTGATCTCATCCCCTGCAGCAGTGTAAACTCCTCCTTCCTCCACCACTGTCTCAGTGTCCTGGTATTCAAAGGGCACATTCCCATACCTCCGGGATGAGCCAGTCTTTGGGAAATCCAGCTGCAGCTTCTTGATAATCCAGGGAGGCAGCCGGCAGGCCCGGATCAGCTCCAGGAACACGCTCAGGGGGGTGCCCACGTTCCCAAAAGGCATGAAGGAGGGGGGGTTGAACTCGGGCAGGTGTTTCAGCTCCGCCTCTGTCACAGATTCCCCGGCAGCCGTCTGGTCCTGGCTGCTGGGAGATGCCTCCGAGCCTGGAAAAGAGAAGGAATGTTTGGAGGGAGGCCCACAAGCCACCTCAGAGGGGTAAAACAGGGCCCTCCCGAGCACGAGGGGGATAAGCAGGGCCCAAACGGGCTCTTCTCGCCTCATAGTAAATTTAAAGCACTAAGGAAGCTCCATAAGGGGTGTTAACTCTTCAAGCTTGGCTGCAGAGTGTCGGTCCGAGCCCCCCCCCCAGGCCCGCTACCGGCCCTCCCCAGTGCCCGCCCGTACCTGTCGCGGGACTCAGGCGGACCCTGCGGATGAGGCAGCGGCCGGGCAGCGCGGCCCCGCCGGGCCCGACCCAGCGCTTCCCCGAGTACATGCGGACGAAGCGGCGGGCGCGGCCGGGCCTCACCGACACCAGGCACGAGCAGGTGCGCGGCCCCGCCGCCGCCGGCGGGCGCTCGGGACGGTGGCGGTAGTGGAAGCAGAGGAAGCCGCCGGCCTCCAGGAACTGGCTGAAGTAAGCGCGGAGGTGCGCGGAGCGGAGCGCGGCGGGGATGCCGCTGACCAGGCAGTACCGGGCCGGGCCGCCATCGCCGCCGCTGCCGCTGGGCGCCGCCATCTTGGAGCGACGGCGCGGGCGCGGGGAGATGACGTCAGGGGCAGGGAGGGAGAGAAGGCGCCGCCTGGTGGACAGAGAGCGCGGTGCGGGCGGGGGAGCGCGGGGGGTGTCACAGGTTCTGGGGACACAGAGAGACCCCGAGGGGTCACAGGACATGGCGACAGAGAGAACCTGGCAGGGGTCTCAGCTCACAGGGGTCTCAGGGGGTCGCAGGCCTTCAGGACACAAAGAGCCTGGGATGGGTCACAGGCCCTGGGGGGGGGTCACAGGCCTTGGGGACAGAGAGAACCCAGTGGGTGAGTGTCACAGGCCCTGGGGACAGAGAGACCCTGGGGGAGTCACAGGCCTTTGGGGTGTCACAGGATCTGGGAACAGAAAGACCCTATGAGGGGTTCATGGGATCTGGAGGGAGAGAGAACTTGGGGGGGTCACAGGCCCTGGGGAGGGACACAGGGCATGGGCACAGAGAGACCCCAATGGGAGGGGGGAGTCACAGGCTCTGGGGACAGCCAGACCCCAGGGCTGGCCACACCCCAGTGCGTGTTGAGGGGGTGTTTACCAAGCCCTGGGGGTAGCAGGGAGTGGCCAGGCCCCAAGGTGGGTCACAAACCCTGAGGGTTTCAGGGCACAGGGGGCATCCAGCCCCCCATGCTGTGTAGCCCCTGGGGGACTGGTGTCCCTGTCCCAGGGCTGTTGGGTGTCCCGTGCTCAGTGACTCACCAAGACTCATCCCATGACTCGGAAAAGGGCTGTCATGGGGCTGAGATCACCCCGGGAGCAGCGGCGGAGGTGGAGGCACAGGCTGACACTGCAGTTTTCCGGGCTGCTGGCGAAGATTCCGGCTGTTTCCATGGCACGGGGAGGCTCCCTGCAGCTCTACCTGACACCTCACCCGTGCCATGGAAAATGGGACGGGGTTTGAGCCTGTTGGCAGCGGAGGGGAGCGTCCAGGTGAGTCAGAGCATCCACCTCTGACACCACTGGGAGACCCTGGGAGAGGCTCAACACCTGGAGAAAGGTGCAGCTTTCCAGGGGGATTTGCCCCTGGAAATTTCTGTGTGCTGGGAGCACCGAGGGGTTTTACATCAAACAGCTCCCACTGACACCATTTGACCCGTATTTGCATTGCCAGGTGGATTTTTATGAAAAATCCTTTTCCTTCCACTGTCTTTCCATGCCAGGCCTAAAGCAGATTTCCCCCCCCCCGCCCCCAAATTCATCACCACCTCTAAAAAGTCACCACTGTTGTTCCAAAACGTCAAGCATTTTATTAAAAAAATAATTTATTGCATCTTATATACAAACCACATGAATGTTCACTTATAAAATACTGACACCTCACCTGTTGAAGGCAGGAGGAGCGAGTTTTCCAGGTGTGCACCTGGCTCTGACTCCAGGGAGGGATGTTTGGATCAACCACTAAACCAGCTCCGCTCGTTTCCACGGCGTTCCCAGCTCAGGGTTCACTTATCACACAAACAGGTAAGCCCAGAGCCCAAAATGAGGTGCAGCAGGTTTAGGTGCTCTTAGTCCTGTTGTATTTCATGGAATTAGGGAGGAAAGATGTAATCTAAGGGAAAGAGGGTGAGTCTGGACGCCCTGTGGGATTTAACACTTTGGCTTTTCCCCCTGAGGGTATTCCCTGAGTGTTTCTAAGATTTCAAGCACAACAGGCAGACCCAGACCTGATTCCACAATGTTTGCACTGTGTAAGTGATCCCACTGAGGCCATCAAACAGCACAGGATCGAGCTGTCAGCTGAGGACAGCCCTCAGTGCTCGGAGTTAACAGCAAAATGCACAATGATTTCACAGGGGAAAAACTGGGATCAGGCTCTACCAGAGCTCACAGGCAGGGGGGAACAGGGAAGGAAACCCCACACACTCCATGAAACCCCTCACACTCCATGAAACCCCACACACTCCATGAAATGGAGGCCAGCAGGAGCCGCTGTAAACATCCGCTGAGCCGGAGCTGCTTCTGCACGGATCCTCCAGCCTCAGCCCTAACGAAACACGCAGTTCCCAAAGAGTCCGGAGCGCTTCTCTCCCTAAATCCCCTCTCCTGGATCTGCCGTGGATCCTGGCAAGGTGTGGGGAGCATCCTGGGCTGCTCAGCAGGGCACACACAGCCCCGGAGCCTCGTAGAGCATCTCCACCAGCAGCTCCGCGATGTCGGCGTCGCCGATGACGGGCCGGAAGAACAGATCCGTGATGAGGGTGGGGGGGATGGATTTTAAGGAGGAGGCAACCAGTAAAATGTGGGAAAAGCGTCCCTGGTCGTCGGGGTGCAGCGGCTGCACGACCTCCTGGAGGGCTCGCTGGGCCTCCCGCTGCAGGCTCTCGATGTAGAGGGAAACCCTCAGCCCGGGGATGTCTGTGAGGGAGAGGAGGGGAAGGTGGGGATGAAGCAGGATGGAAAACAGCCCCAGGTTTCCCCCGCTCCCACCCTTCCCTGTTTCTCAGCAGGGCACATTAATGGGATGTACACAGGGCTGCTGAGATGTGGCTATTCCAGGGATGCTGTGTAAGGGAGGAAAAGCAGTTAACTGAGAAAATCAAGTAAAGGAACCTGTGGTTTGCTGTCTGCAGGGCAGGCAAAGTCCTCTGGCTTTTACCACTACATTTGACATCCCTCAACCCTGCTTCCCAGTGCATTTGGGAATGACCAGAATTAGGAAGAAGGTGACCAACCCTCTCTGCTCTCACACCTGCCCAGCTCTGAGCAGCTCCAAGCCAAGAGGTCTATGTTAGCCCAGGGAGCTAGTGGAGTCCCCATCCCTGGAGGTGTTCAAGGAATGACTGGATGTGGCACTCAGTGCTCTGGTCTAGTTGACAAGGGGGTGATCACAGGTTGGACTGTTGGACTTGATGATCTTGGAGGCCTTCTCCACCCTCAGTGATTCTGTGATTCAGTGTTCAGCTGCCAGCTCCAGCCGGCAGAGCCACGAGGGCCTGGCACTCACCTGGATTGAAGAGGATGGCTCCCTTCAGATAGGCATATTCCTTGGGGCTCAGATCCAGGCTCCAGAAGGTGTTGAGGCAGCACTGCAGCCGCTGCACTGCAGCCAGTGTGGGCTGTGTCCTCTCGGGCTCCTGCCCTTTGCTTTGCCCGCTGAGGAGAATCTTCTTGAGCATGCTGGGGGCCGGCGCCTCCATCACCTCGAAGGTCACCATCTCCTGCACCAGCCCCAGCAGGAAGAGGGGCACCCAGCAGCTATCCAGCAGCAGGAGCTGGTCCTCCTTCGGCAGCAGGTAGAAGGAAGGGAGGTTTTTCATGAAGCTGATGGTTTTGACCAGCACGTCGGAGGCCGCCTGGCAGGTGACGTGTGGCGTGCGCAGCCGGACGGTGCGGCGCTGGTGGCACAGGCAGCGCTGCCGGGCCCGCCCGGGGTGCAGGTTCTGGCTGAGGAGGGTGTAGAGGATGGCAGTGTTCTTATCCTTGCTGTGGCACTGGCACCTCTCGCACTCCATGCCCACGCCGGTGCTCATAGCTGAGCCGGGTCCTCGGCGAAACTCCCGTAAAACCCCTCCTTAAATCTCCGTCCTCCCAGCTCTGCCAGCCCTGTGGCTCCTCCAGCCAGCTCTTATAAGGCTTGGTCACCACTGAAACACCCCTCCACAGCCTTGACCGCCCTGATTAAGCTGCCCTCATTAAAAAAAAACACCCAACCAGCCCCGCTGTCCCTGGGCTGATTGGCCGGGGGCAAATGAGTTCCCAGCGCTGCGTCAACAGCCGTTTTCTCAATGAATCGCCGGGGAGGGGGGGACGGCGGGTTGGGCCCGTTATCAGGATTACCCAAACAGGATAAACAGAGTCATTACCCCAGGCTGTACCATGGCACCAAGGCCCCTGAGCTGTCGTGGGGCGGGTGTCGCTGCCAGGACCTCACAGACAAACAAAGGGCGCTCGTCTGGGCCCTGGAGTTCAACGGCCCGGCCTTGGCAGGAGCAACCTGGAAGTCGTGTTATCAGCGGCTGGTTTTGCCCGGCCTTGCTCGGGAGGCTCCTGTTGTGGTTGGGAGGAAGAGGAACCTGGTGAAGTGCCCAGAAAGGGCCACGGGTGTTGTCTCTTGGGCTGGAGAAGGGCAAATGCCCCCATTTGCAGCATGAGAGAAAAGGGAGGAAAAAAGGGAAGAATTCTTACATTCTTCCAGTGGAAAAGAACCTGGGGGAGCTGGTAAGCAGTGGCTGAATGTGAGCCCAGGTGGGAAAGAAGGCCAAGGGCACCTGGCTTGTACCAGCCATGGTGTGGCCACAGAACCAGAGCAGTGACTGTCCCTCTGTGCTGGGCACTGCTGAGACACTTCCAGGGTGAGGATTCCTGCGGGGGACAAGGGGAACCTTTGAGGGAGGAGGAGGAGAAGGGAGAACCTCCCCCCTCAATCCTCCTGCCCAGGGATCATGTTGGACCCCAGCCCCGGCGGGACGCGGAGAGGAGGGGGGCGCAGGGCGGGTGGCAGCACTGGGGCCGCTCCCGTGACAGCAGCGGGTGCCGAAGGGTCCCGGGCCCTGTTGGGAACCCCCCGGGCACCGGGACCCCCGAGGGCCGCGGGAACCCGCCTGTCCCGTCGCCATAGCAACCGCGCCGCGCCTCGCGCCCCGCCTTCCCGGACAGATTGACAGCGCCCTCAACCAATCCGCGGAAAGCACAGCGAGGATTGACAGTTCCTTGAACCAATCCAAGAAGAGAGCGGTGCGGCGGCGCGATGTGATTGGCGGTTTGGGACAGGCGCGTGCGTTTCCGCGGGCGCCGGTTCCGGTTCCGGCGGGGCCCGGTGTGGCGGCGGCGGCGGCAGGATGGGGCTGAGCGCGGAGGATGCGGCCGAGCAGGAGGATCGCTTCGACGGCATGCTGCTCGCCATGGCGCAGCAGCACCAGGGCGGCGTGCGCGAGGTAGCGCCGCCGGCACACCGGGAGAGCTGGGGGCGGGACGGTGGGGCAGGACCAGGAGGAACGGGGCGTGGGGGGGGGGGGGGGGGGCGCGGCGCGGCCTTCTCGGATCCCGCCCCGGCACGTGGGGCACGGGAGGCACGTGCGGTGCTACGGGAGCGGAGATAACGGCCCTGGGCAGCCCCGCTAGTTAATTAATAGGATGTTAACGAGGGGGCCTTGCACCCCCGGCCCTGGCGCCTCCGGGATTCCCGGAGCGTTCCCGGAGGGTTCGGGATGCGCGGGCAGCGCCTGTGCCGGGTCACCACAGGGCAGGATGGAGCCCCTCAGTTGCTCTTTCCCAGCACAACCGCCGGCCCCGTGAGGCCTGACCGCGACCGTTGCTCCCCCTCCTCGTGCTCAGGGATCTGCTGACCCCCCTCGCGGATCCCACCGGGATCCCGCTGGCTGGGGGCTCCGCGATCCCGGGTGCTGCCCTGCAGCAGGGCTGGAGGGTGTGGGAACCTCCCACTCACATCCCACTCACAAATAGCTTAAAAAAAACGCTCCTAAACCAGCCCCTCGTGCTGTAGTGAAACCTCAGATTGAAACACCCACAGCACAGAATTCCCAGAAAATGAAGATCAGCCAAGAATATGTGTTCCCACAGGGATTTGGGGATGCTGGTTGGTAACTGTTCACTCATCAGTGATCCCTGGCAGGCAGCTGGTGATTATTATTGTGTAAAAATAAAGAGTTTGCACACTTTTAGGCATGCAAAAGAAGCAAAATGTGGTATATATGTATATGTATCCCTGCCCAAATTCCAGCTTGGGGTACTGGAGCAGGACCTGAGGGTAAACTGCTGCCCTTTCTTCATGCAAACCACACAAATGCCTCTTCTGGAAGGTGGGAATCCAGGAGCTGGATGTTTTCTCCAGGAAAACAGTCACAGGACTGATTCCAGGATGATTTTGACACAGCCACAGATGGAGAGGACGAAGGATAAGGGCTGATCCAGAGACAGGGGGTGGCTTGGAGTGACCTGGTCTCACTGATCCTTTTCTTTGCACCAGCTTGTGAACACCTTCTTCAGCTTCCTGAGGAGGAAGACGGATTTCTTCACTGGGGGAGAAGATGGAGTGGCAGAGAAGGTAAAAAGTAAACCCTTGAGCTTTTAACTTTTTAATTTACATCCCACCCATGTCTGTGCCAGGCTAAGACTTCCCTGCCTGAACAACTCCCTGCATTTGGGTGCACTTGGGGCACCAGCAGCTCGTGGTGGTGCTGGAATCCATCACAGAAGGGAGGAAATAAGGAGCTGCTCCTCTCTGAGGGGAGGAAGGAAACAAGGAGCTGCCCCTCTCAGAGGTGAGGAACACACAATTGCCTGCTCAGATGTTACCAACAGTGCAGGTTTTTCTGCCAGACTCTGGCCAAAGGCTTGTTTGGAAAGCAAACCTGCCAGACACACTGACTTAACGGTGACACGCCAGGGTGCTGATAACCCCGGGTTACCTTGTTTGTTCACCTCAGAAAAAGCACAAAGTCCACGTCCCTGCACATGCAGCTGCACCTTTGGCTCAGGGCTGGATGGAGTGAGTGTTCTAGGGAGCCTCAGGTGGCCTGAGCATCACCTGTCCTGCCCTCACCCAGCTCCAAAGCTGAAAAACTAAGTTTCACCTTAAGGAAATATTTATTGAAACACAAAATGGCCAGGCTCCCTGAACATTTCCTTTTTATACTTACCAGTATAGCAGCTGTTCCTCCTCCTGAGCAGCTGGAACTCCACCAGTGGGATGTGTTAGGGCAGCTTTTAGGTGCTTGCACAGGGTGTAACATCCTCTGTCCAGTCCCTAAGGTGGTAAAGCTGAGGCAGGTAAGGGATGGGAAAGAGGATGTCCCATCCCTGGAAGTGTTCAAGGCCAGGTTGGATAGAGCTCTGAGCAACCTGGTCTAGTGGAAGGAGTCCCTGCCCATGGCAGGGGGGTGGAACTGGGTGATCTGTAAGGTCCCTTCCAACCCAAACCATCCTGTGATTCTGTCAAAGTAAGAAAGATAAACCCCACTGTCACTTAGATTAGAGAGCAAATCTCCCCAAATTCCTGGGGGCTCTGTGCTCCCAGGGAGTGAAACCCTGAGTGGCATTTCAGAGGGAAGCACTGGCTGTCCTTTGGCATGTCCTGGCCACTGTCCTTGTCAGATCTGTGCCTGTAGAAGAAAAATGTTCATGTCCTCGGGTGGCACCTGTCAAAACGCTTTACGGCCTCCTGAGAAAGTACTCTGCACAACAAAAATGGCAGAAGCTGCTCCCCCAGTCCTGCTCACCCTTTGGCATGGAAGAGAAAGAGGAGAGGGTGGGAAGGTCACTATGTTTTTTGGGTGCCATTTTTGGGTGCAGCCCTTGTGTGGAGTGAGGGGGATGTGGGTGACACCCACAAGCTCGGGCAGCGTAAACAGTTCCCTCACCATGGATCGTCGTGGGGTTGGGAACAGAGTCTGGGACACACACACACTTCTTGTATCCTGTGTCCCAGGAGTCACTGGACTTGCACTGTGTAAATAAATCCTGCTTTCCTCTTTAGAACAAAGCAGAAAGACTCAGGGCTTGGTTACGAACTACGAGGCTTTGCACTGCAGGTTGCTCGAAAAAGGCACTGAACTCCCCCTGGAAGTTTCTGAAACATATATAAATCAATTTTCCCCCTCTAATTCCTTCCTCAGGCTCTGTCTGTGCTGTTTTCTGGGGCAGCCTTCAGCTCACATACGTGCTGCCCTGCACAGCAGCCCTGGCTTTATCGAGGTGGGGCAATTGCTCTGGCTCCCTGCCTGTGTACTCAGCTTTCCCGCTGAGCACGTGGCCGTTGGCACCAGGGACCTTGAGATTTTGCCTCTCAATAGTCACAACAACCTTTGGGGAGTTTGGAGGGAGGATGAAAGAAAAGATTTATGGAGGAACTTGCCTCTCTAGTGTAAAACACGGGAGGTTTTCAAGCATTTCTCATCTCAGTCGTGGCAGCTCCGTCTGGGAGAAGCCCAGTCGTGGGTAAGGTCAGAAGTAGGTGAAAAAACTTGGACTCTGTGTCCCTGTGCTTCCAGCTGGCCTAGATATGTGGAGCAGCTGTCAGGTGGCTGGGTTGGGCATCAGCTCGTCCTGCTGGAATAGCACAAAGGACAAAATACGTGGAGAATTATTATTCCTATGTTATCTCCATGAAAATACACACCTTGTGCAGGGAAGAACTAGGAAGGGCTACATTTAAGTATTTTATAATTATTTAAATATTGAATATTTTATATTTTTTTCCCTCTTTTCTCTTTCTTTTCTTCTCTCTTTTTCAATTGAAAAATCTCAATATTTTCAGTCAAAACCCGAGTGAAAACAAAGGGAAAAGTCACAACACCCCCTGTGGCTGAACGAACGAGCTCCTCACTAGACCAAGCTGGCTCCATTTGGGTTTGAAATGGGTGATTTATTTTACAACCCCTGTGTCTTTGCTCCTGTCTTTCAGCTGATCACAGATGCTTTCAACCACCACAACAAACTGGCTCAGAAGGAGCGGAAGGAGAAGAAGGCCCGTCAGGAGGCCGAGCGGCGCGAAAAGGCCGAACGTGCCGCCAGACTGGCCAAGGAAAAGCAGGAGGCCAACGAGCCAAGAATCAAGGAACTCACAGATGAGGAAGCAGAAAGGCTGCAGCTCGAAATCAACCAGGTGAGAGGGTTGTCAGGTGCTGAAATGCATTAGAATGGCTCAGTCTTGTTCCTTTGCAGTCGTGGCAGTGTGAGGACAAAAGGGAATCTTCCCCTTGGTAGTACCTCTTTTCTGTAATTTTTTTAAAGGCTGAAAATTCCCTGTTTTCAAAGTCTCGGATGCAATTCCCAAGTCCTGCTCTTCAGCCTGAGTTGAAGAGGCTGAGGCCATCTAGTGCCTGGTCAGGAAGTGACACCAAGTGCCAGCACTTGGCTGAGCGTATTTCCTTCTCTTTTTAAACAGAAGAAAGAGGCACAAGGACAGGTCAACAGTGCCCCAGTGAAACCCTCAGAGGATGAAGCTGAATCAGATTCTAACAAACAGGTAAAACTCACCTGGGGAATTTATTTTAGAATGACAGAGTGGTTTGAGTTAGAAGGGAGCTTTAGAGCTCATCCACTTCCACCCCCTGCCATGGGCAGGGACACTTTCCACTAGACCAGGTTGCTGCAAGCCCTGTCCAGCCTGGCCTTAGGCTGAGAAATATATTTCTGGACAATCATGAGAACTCTTGTGAATATGAGGGGATGTCCAGTCTGACTTTCTTTAAAAATACACAGAGAGTTCCCAGAAATTTCAATAAAGTTTGGGTCTTTTTGGCTTTTTTTCCTGTAATCATGTTGTAACAACAGCATCTATTAATTTTTGGGCTAAGTTTATGTGGCTATCAAACACAAACACCTGACCTGAAATTCTTATAAACCTCAAGAACTGTTGTTACAAGTGAAAGATAAATAGAAACTTGAAAAGCTTTTTTCTTTACACCTGAATTTCTTAGGGAACAGATGACGAAGAGGAAGACGAGAAGGACAAAGGAAAACTTAAACCCAACTCTGGCAATGGAGCTGACCTTCCAAATTATAGGTGG